TCTCTCTCTCTCTCTCTCTCTCTCTCTCTCTCTCTCTCTCTCTCCAGTACTAACCTGTGAAGTTGGCGCCTTGATGCAGGTACCTCGAAGATGGAGCTGGAGCTATGGTGCCACAGGTAAGTACCGCTGGCCTCCGCCAGCCATCTCCCTCCACTGCAACAACTACCACCTACTAGCGCCCAGCGTTGAAGACTACAGCTATGGCTATGGGCGCCCAGCGCCGAAGACTATTACTGCCTAACGCTGAAGACTACTGCAGCGCTCCTCCTCAGTGTTGCGGCCGAAATCTGAAGACTACCGTCCTACTCTCCAACTGCCTACCCGTTCAGTGCCTGAAGCTCCTATGTACAATCACGGGTGCCTCCTAACTCGGGCGAGCAGTCCAGGAGGCTGCTCTTGCCAATAATGCCGAAGGGAGGCAGGGGCTGCAGCTGCAGCTCCGGCTCGTGCTCTTGCCAATAATGCCGAAGGGAGGCAGGGGGCTGCAGCTGCAGCTCCTACTCGTGCTCTTGCAAATAATGCCGAAGGGAGGCAGGGGTTGCAGCTGCAGCTCCTGCTCGTGCTAATGCCAATAATGCCGCAGGGAGGCAGGGGCTACAGCTGCAGCTCCTACTCGAGCTGGCGTGGGAACAGACCAGAAATAGCCTGTTCCGAAACCCAGTTTTCGTGCATGAATCTTAGGGCAGGTCGAAACAAATGAGGGCCTAAAAATAGCCCATGACCTAAGAATAGCCCTCCGTTTCAGGCTGGAAAAACTCTGGGTCTGAAAGACCCAGAAATAGGCTGAAACGGAGTAGGGCCTGCAGACCCTCGTTTTTCAGTTTTCAGACTGAAACGACCGGGGCCCGTAGCTCCTAAGTTTTAGGCTTTAAGGCTCAATATTCGGGACGGGTCCTACAGGGCCCGTGTGGCTACGCAGTCTGCCACACCCCCCCCTCCTTGAAAGACCGAGCTTACCTGCGAGGGCGAAGCTGTCTGTCTGAGGGAGGGACCACAGTCCGGGTGGGAGGGGCAGGTTGTAGAGGTCCCTTGGCTAACCTTTGACGTTCATAGCGAGCATAGATCAGCGGTGCGGATGTTTTTAAATCTGCTCCTGAAATCCACCGAGTGTCGTCGCGATCGCATGCTTTGAATGTGACTTTGTACTGCCGCGGCTTGCTGCCGTACTTGCGATCGGTGATGACGAGGTCAACTTCCTGATGACCATCCATAGAAGGAGGGTCCTGCGATCGTCGGCCCGGAAAGTCGTCGCTCTTGGCTGGCGTGTATGTTGCCAGCTTCGAGGCGTGGAAGACCGGATGGACAGTCAGATGCTCTGGAATGTTGATCACAAATGAAAGGCCATCGGGATCATCGCCCGCGGCTGCTGTCACAGACCAAGGTCCAAACCACTTGGGAAGCAGTTTGCGTGAAACGTCCTGTTCCAGTGCAAACTCTTCCGCGGAGACCCAAACCAGATCACCGGTGCGGATGGGACATGGTACGCGACGCCTATTGGCTTGTTGCTGCATGCGAACTTGAGCCTTTTGCATATTTGCGCGGGCTTGAGTCAGCAAGTCCCTGTACTTCCKAACGGAAGCGGGGGAGCAAGCGGCGTCAATGTCGGCTGGTCGAGGGAGGAGRAGGTCGGTGAAGATGCGGCCTTTCCGTCCACCGTGGTGCAACTCGAATGGAGTCACGCCGATCGCCGGGTGCACCGAAGTGTTGTAGGCGAAYTCGATGTCGGGGAGGCGGTCAACCCAATCTTTCTGGTCCGGACGRATGAGCGTACGAAGCATCATTTGAGCGGTTTGATGTGCCCGCTCCGTCTGCCCGTCTGTCTGAGGATGTCGAGCCGAACTTGGTTTCATTGTTGTGCCGGACTTCTGCATGAGAGCAGTCCAAAACGCCGACATAAAACGAGTGTCGCGGTCGCTGACAATATCTTCTGGTACACTCTGGCCACAAATCCAACTTGTGTGCAGGAGGCGTGCCAGCTCGGGAGCCGTGGAGTAGTACTTGCAAGGGAGAAAACGCGCGTACTTACTCAATCGGTCCACAACCGTGAGGATGCCGTCGTGCCCGAGCCGGTCGTGAGGAAACGGACCGGTGACGTCCATGGCAATGGAGAGACCGCGTTCCCGTGGGATAGGCATCGGGTGTAACTCGCCGTAGGGATTGCGGTTGCGGGGCTTGCTGCGTCGGCAAACTTCGCAAGAGTCGCAATACCGAGTGACATCGGTAATGAGGTCGGGCCATCGGAATCGCTCTCGAAGCCGTGCAATAGTGCGGTTGACTCCGAAATGGTCGGCGAGTCGTGAATTATGATACTCGCCAAGGAGGCGAGTCTGAAGACGACGGTCGCGTGGGACACATAGTAAGTCCTTGCCTCTCGAGTGGAGGAGCAAGTACCCGTCGGCGATGCGGTAATGGCTGGCCAGCGGGTGATCCGAAAATAGTTGTGCATAGAGCGTGCCGAAGTCCGGATCAGACTTATACGCCCGGATGAAGTGTCGCTGAAGCTCCTCGTCGAATGCGAAGGCATGATGTGTTATAGCGCAAAGATCGGGTCTTCGCGAGAGTGCATCTGTTGCGCGATTTGAGAGGCCGGACAAATGTTTCGGTGTGGAGTCAAATTGGTCGATGAAGTACATCCATCGTCCGATCGTGCTGCTCACCGTATCCTGCGTCTTGTAGTAAGTCAATGGATTGTTGTCCGTGACCCATGTGAACCTACGACGCCCAAGGATGAAGTGTCGTCATCGCTTGAGAGCCATGTCGAATGCGAGCAGCTCCTTCTTCCTTGCATCATCAATCGAGTTGATGGGAGGCACTTTGTGGCTGAAATACTCCACACGGTGCCAATCATCGCCGTCGTGCTGTTCCAAGACTGCCCCAATGCCATAGCCCGAAGCGTTCGTAGTCACTCGCGTCGACAGGGTGGGGTCATAGACGCTAAGGACGGGTGTCATGAGCATAGCCGTCTTAAGTGCTTGGAATGACCGGCGTGCGACATCATCGAATACGAATGGCACCTTTGGCGACTGTAACCTCGTCATAGGTGCAGCAATCCTGGAGTATCCGGTGATGAATCGCTGATAGTAGCCCGCCAATCCCATGAATGAACGAACGTCCGTGGTGTTGGTGGGCTCGGGCCATACTCGTAGGGCCTCGATCTTGTCCGCAAGCGGACGGATGCCTTGGGGCGTCACATAGTGTCCCAAGTATTCCAGCTCCTGCTGTGCGAACTCGCACTTGTCGCGGTTTGCTTTGTACTTGGCTTGTCGTAGCCGCTCCAAAACGGTGCGCAGGTGTTTCACATGCTCGTCCCAACTTCGACTATACACCAAGATGTCGTCGAGGTAGATGAGTACAAACCGATCCAGCATGTGTCGGAACTCCGTTGTCATAGCCGCTTGGAAAGTGGTTGGGGTATTCGTAAGGCCAAACGGCATGACCAACCATTCGAAATGCCCATACCGTGTTTTAAACGCGGTCTTGTAGCGATCCTCCTTGCGAATCTCGAGTGGGTGGTACCCTGGCTTGAGATCCAGCTTAGAGAAGAACTGGGCGCCGCCCAATCGCTCGAGAAGGTCGTCGATGCGTGGGAGAGGGCCGRCGTTCCTGATCGTCTGCGCGTTGAGCTTGCGATAATCGATGCACAACCGCAGGTCCTTGTTCTTCTTCCGGACGAAGAGRACAGGAGCACCGTATGGCGATGAGCTAGGCCGAATCCAACCTTTCTCTAGAAGATCGTTGAGTTGTGCACGGAGCACACTTAACTCTTCCTCGCTCATTCGGTAGATGCAACCGCGTGGAGGTACGGCCCCGTCCTCGAGGATGATCTCGTGGCGGATGGGCCGATCCGGTACTACTCCGTGCGGGCCTTCGAACACGTCGCTGTAAGCGTCGAGAAGCTCGGTGATGTGTGGATCCGAAGATGAGTCCGTCGATGAAGCGTCTTAGGGCGGGAGGGCGTGGAGAAAACATACCCCCATCTCCTCGATGTCGTCTCTGATGATGGATGCTCGCATGCTTGCGGCGAATACCACGTGGCAGTTGATAGAAGGATGAGGAAGAGGCACCGTGCATGGAACCAGTACTCCGTTCCGATCACGAATGTGAACGGTGTGGTTGAAGAAGTTCACCGGGTGATCCTCGCTTCGCAGCCATGACATGCCCAAGATCATGTCRAATTTGGTGTCCAGAATGTCAAAGGACACCGCCTCACTTGCGTGAGGGGCAAAGTACACGGGGACGGCGTCAATGCACCGGTCGATTGACTTGTGCGTATGACCGTCTGCCAACGTGACTTGCGTAGGCTGGGACTTCCTGCGGACACGTGGGCCAAGGCCGGCGCGCACCATGAAGTCCTGGCTGATGTAGTTGCGAGATGCTCCGCAATCGATCAAGGCACTGCAGGTCGCCTCACCGATCTGAATGCGTATGTACAGCAATGGTGCGTCGATGTCGTCATACCGTTGCGTCTTGAACTGGCGATCAATCTTCGCGATGTACTCGTGAAGGTTGACAACTCTACTCCGCCGTCCATCAACGGAGTTGGTACTGCAGTGTGCAAGTAGTCCCGCAGTTGTGCCATGAGCACATTGCAATGCGGTTTCGACAATCGTCCGGTCGAGGGAACGGGCATCCACTGGAAGTCCGTGAACGTCAACGGGTCGAGCTCATCAAGTGTTGACCATGACGTCGAATCCCCGGCGATAGATTGTGGCGAAGGTGCCGAATCGGTTGCCGATGGTGATGAAACCGTGCATGCGGTGGACTATTGCACGTGGAGCGGCTGCTCCAGCGGTGGAACCAAGTAGACAGCATAGTTCTCGTAAGAGTAACGAGAACTTGCGACATTCGCGTCCTCCCCAGATGTGCAGGAGGTTGCTAGCAAGGCGGCCGAATCTGGCGGAGCGGAAGGTGAAGTCGCCTCACCTTCCGCGGAGCTTAGTTTCCCGAGCTGAGGCAGGGTCGCACATCCTCCTTGCCCTGATCCTGGCACAGGGAGGTCTTGTGCTTGGTGCTGTTGCACCAATAGCAGCTGCCGTAGCGGCCACGGACTTTGTACTCCGCCTCGGTTAAGCCGAACTTGACCCATGGAACTTGTACTGGCTGTCCATTTCTGGACTGCGATACGGACTTCGCCTTCCCATTGTTGCGGGACTTGTTGTTGCTTCGCGGCTGGACAGCAGCCACCTGATCTCCGTCACTTGATGCTGGAGTGGCTGCTCGGTTATCTCCACTGTCCTGGTGGACTGCAGCGAAGTGCTGCTGTCGCGGACCAGTTCGTGCCTTCTCCACATAGGTCGGCTGCCATGTTGATTTCTCGTGTGCAGCTGACCTGTTGGTCTTGATGATCTCTCTCGCCTTGTTGATGATCTCTGCGAAAGTGTGGTACTGCTCGCGATCACCAAGTGCGAGGCTCAGAGCGGCGCATGACCTGTTGTAGAACTCACGGCGCAGATGTGGAAATGGCAAGTCCAGATCGGGCGTGGCCACGATCTTCTGCCAATCCTTGAGCCAGTCACGTGTCGGTGTGCTCCCTTGAGCCATCGCGAAGATGTGGTTGATGGCGAGCGCGGATGCGTCATCCACTATGAACCGCTTCTTCCATTCCTTTGCCATATCCTCCCAGGTGACCTTCTTATGCAGGTCGGAAACCTGGATGCCGTGGATGGTTGCCATGTGGCTGAGCCAGATCTGACATCCTCCCTTGGTGTTGATGAATAGAGCACTGATGAACAGATGGTTAGGGACCTCGTGGATTCCCAACTCCGTTGTAAATCCTTGCCACCAGACGACCGGGTCTTCATGTGTGTAGTCATCAAATTTCTCGATCCGGAACGTCGGCATCTTGTATGGCCTTGCCGAGCTGTTGTTGTGGCTGTGGTCGGTCGGCTGTTGCTGACTGATCTTAGTGTCCAGCAACTTGAACCGCTGGCTGATGGTGGTCGGCTCTGTGAAGGCATTTATATCTCCTAGCATTGCCTCTACGTGGTCAACGCGTTCCTCCAGTTGGCGGCTAGAGGATGCACTACTGGAAGCCCCAGCATCTGGTCCTGGGACAGCCTGTTCCAGGTCCAGTACACGGGCATCCAGTGCCCGTGTGGCATCCTTGTGCTGAGTCTTATGGTTCCGCACGGCCCGCTGGAGGTTCGCCAGCTCGGATTGTAGGTGGTTACAAGTATAAACCAACCTGGTCACGAGCTTGGCCATGAACTCCTTATGCTTCTCTTCCGGTGTTGGTTCGTCGCCGTTCGGTTCAGCGTGCTTGAACTTGAGTCTGTCGATGTTGCTGGCTTCATGTCGGTGCAGCAGATCCTGGGCTTCCTTGCGGCGAGCCTGAACATCTGCGTCCGCTTCGACCTGTAGCCGCAGCTTCTCTGTTGTTGCCTTTTCTTCAGCCTGTAGCTGGGCAGCCTTGACTGCCAGCTGGCGTTGTTCCTCAGCCTCGATTGCAGCGAGCTGAGCCTGGAAGTGCTTTTTGTAGTCGGCAATGGGCTCATTGGCCAATTGGCCTGGCAAGCCCGTCATGTTGCTGACGTGGCACTGCTTACGTGGCACAGTGTCTGGCGTNTTTTTGTAGTCGGCAATGGGCTCATTGGCCAATTGGCCTGGCAAGCCCGTCATGTTGCTGACGTGGCACTGCTTACGTGGCACAGTGTCTGGCGTGTCACTGTACCAACCCGAAAATGCATGCAAAGGGTGGGTGGGAGGGAACACGCAGGTAGGAAACCAACCCAACAATACTTTCCTCCGACCTAATCAACAGATAAAAAATAAAAAAAAATAAAAGAGGACTACTTCCTTTTTTTATATATATATATATATTTGTCGATCTATTATGAGTGAGACATGTTAGAAGAGTACTATGAACGAGATCTAGGCTAGGTTCCGCAAAGTTTTGGCTCTTGAAAAAAAAAAATTTGCGAAATGGAGTGAAGATGCGATTTTCAGAAAAGAACAAAATCCCGTTTCTGAGAATATGGCAATCTCCGAATATGCTTGACGAAGTGTTGGTAGGCTCCGCAAGATTTCGGTTTTCAAAAAATTTGCGAGATAGAATGGAAATTCGATTTTCATAAAATAATAATTTTGGTTTCCGAGAATATGACCACTTCTCTCGTTATCCCAATCTGCCTAGAAAACGAAATACTAACTTTAGAGATTTCAGCGATGTATGCTAAAAATCAGAGAAACGAAATGCTACTATCGGGAATTTTCAGACAAAACGAAATGCGATTTATCAGAAATTTTCAGATATTTGTTACGTGAAAACGAAATACTAATATCAGAAATTTTCAGGTAAAACGAAATGCAAATATCAGAAATCTTCAGATAGTTGTTGTGAGAAACTTTTTTTCAGAGATTTGACGAAGTCCTACTTGCGTTACTAATGAGCGATCAATAGATCGCAAGCTGGCTACTTGATTGAGCGGGTCCTCTGAATGAGAGGTCCGCTCCGATACCAAACTGTTGCATACCGTATAGGTGCAGACCAGAACAAGAACCGGCCTTTCAATACAAAGTATAAGATAGCACAGTGGAAGACTTAGATACCAACGATCCGAACAATCAATATTGCAATGCAGCCCCAAACATACATCATCATCATCATCATCATTCCATGGTGTGAAGGGGTCTCGCGCTTCACACAGGAAGACTGCGCCAGCCCCAACCATACACAGACGAAGGAGATGGGGGTTAGACGAAGAAGAGGGGAAGATGGGAATGTC